GGGTCGGTTTTGTTCCTGTCGTTTACCTGAGGAGCATAAGCGAAAAAGTGTAGCACTGCTCGTTAAGTTCTCAGCGCGGGATAGTAAGCTTGTCACGCGAGGAGTTGCATAAAAAGCGCATAATAGTGCTCTGAACTGGATACTAGATAGAGCGTGGACAACCGTTGGAGGGAGGTTATTCCACACAGCAGCTACCCGAAATGAGAAAATTTTGCCTAATAAAAGTGTGCTTACTGGGCCTGAAAATCTTCTTACCATGTCCCCTCTATCTGTTTGCACGGTCAACGGTTAAAAACCTGTCGACCAAACCTTGTTCGAACAGGGCTTAAGTAAATATTAGGTCTCCTCAGAGGCGACGATAGTCCAGGGGGAAGAGGTCAACTACCGAGGGACGCGTTTCGTAGTCTACGGATTTAGGGCTAGCAACCATTTTTGTAGGAGCACGTTGGACAGAACTGATAAGGACTACGTCCTTCTTGTGCACTGAATAGACGATATGGCTGGCATATTCAAGAACCGGTCTGACGTAAGCCCCATTGAATATTTGGAAGACCATGCGAGTGATGCGGGAGAAGGTGCGCCGAATCATCCGTAGGACGAACGTCTTTTGGGCCGATTTCTCACGGTTAGGAAAAAAACATATTTGAAGAGAGCCAGATACCCAAATCCTTCTTGGCACCTATCCTCGTGATGTCTTCTGATCTTATCTTACCACACTCGACAAAGGCGTCCCTTACGAATGATATACGGACGCACGTTTCATATTCAGAGGAAGTTGCCAGTCCAACGACCACTGTTTTGCAGCGTCTACATCCATTTGGAGAGCATTGATATTTGAAATACGAAATTTCAATTTGTCCGCAGAAAGTAGACATGGACTTGAAAGAACATCTGGAAGTTCGTTGACGTAGTGGTTCCAAAACTGATTCTTGAGGAATTCCAAGTGTAGGTCGAGCTTAATTTCACTCGGAAAGATCCGTCTGATAGGAACGACCCAATCTACCGCTGAATTTCCCCTTGAATCCTGTAAGACTCGGGTTTGTCGAATGCTTTTCAGAAATATGGCATCTGACATGAGTCCCACGTCCTTAGCATGAGTGAAACTGTCCATAAATACGAGTGTGTACGCCACGCAAGAACGGTTTGGAATGAATCAGTGATGAACTGGGGATATCAAGTTATTGACAGCAGGATGATTCAGGATGACCCGCTTCAGAATACATTCCATCACCTTGCAGGGTACGATAGTGGGGCTACTAGGTCTATTACTGCTGGGAGATAGTCTGCCACCAGTGACAATCACTTCTTTCCAAGCGATTGAAGAATCACCAGGAAGAAATGCTTTGCCGGCGTGAACGACGTTTCTTCAGGATCCTTGGATGGACCACGTCTGGCATCAACACACTTCACGAGACGCCAGTACGTATCTTTCCTTGTGTTACTGACGTACGCAAAGTCCCTTTTCGGTGGTTTCTTCGACGTTGGTACAAATCCAACAATTAGACGAACCCTGAACCAAACACGGCCTTGACACTGCAACGGCCATTAAGCCTAATTAGCGACCAATTGGTCAGAGAATTGGGCCACTTGCGGCCCAACATAAACCCGACCTCTGATTGGATATAGCAGAATGTTCCCGTGTGTACTGAGTACCAGTAGTCAATGGCCCGTCCAGAGGGTGCCTACACTTCCGGAATACCGTCTCTTCACGCACGTCAGATAGCTTTTTAACTTGATCTAAATGTTCGATGCATTCTGTGAGTTTTGGGATTTCTGCAAAAAACGCCAGTCATTGAATTTTTCTTTCATGCTCGTCTATCTCCAGCAGTACGTCTCTAGAATTCTTATACTTTCCATAGTTGACCACGCTTCCGCCATTTTGCCTAGTCGCAATTGAGCAGGAACCTTCGTGTACCCCTGCTATTATCGACAAACAGAAGAATCATTTGGTCGTGGTGTCCTCCCCCTTTGTTTGTTACCTCCATCAGGTTTCCCAGTCGGCCTGGAACGGCTCCAATTCCTGATCAGTGTGGATTTCATGGACTCTCGCTTTAAAAACCGCCTTTTCGGAATGCCAGAAATTAATCATCATGTGTGTTTCACAGTGCGGCTGAGCCTGGCAACCACAAAACTGTTATCATAGTCCACAACGGCTATCGTTACCGCCACCACTGGATTCAACAGTTTCGTGAACAGGGGCTCTAGTAACGGGAAATGTTTCCCCGGTGATTTTTAGCCGGAATGTAAATTTATATCCATTTATTGGTAATGTGCTGAAATATTGGTAGCTGGGGTGAGTTTATCGGTTGTTGATCAGGTAGCTTTTGCCAAGCTCGGCGAACATGTCAGCAATTATCGTTGTGGATCTCCCAATCAAAGATGGTCGTTTGTGGGGAACAACACCTGTGCCGGCTCGATATTAGCTAATCGATGTATAAAAACTCGAAGCCTTCCCTGATCAACATTCAGCACCACCCCATGCGGATTCTGAATGCGTGCATCGTTCTCAGATGCATATTGACTGGACCTATGCATGCTGCAGCAATCGTGAACGTATGCGATGCAGTTTTCCTTACGGGCTACTGGTGGTCGAAGTTCCACTCAGTCCTTTCTAGCTGCGTTTAATTTCTGCCGGTCTAGACACTATCTTTAGAAATTTCTGGTATGGTGACATTTATTGACTCCGTGGTGCCATTTTTCCAAGCCTTATATTTCCTCGGTCAGCTGTCTTTGAAACAGACCAAGTAGAGCCGATGTTCAAGCCGAAGCTTGCGAGTCATGCCACTTACTCAAGAGGACATTGGACACCGGCGTCAGTTCCAGGCCATTGATTTCCCCCGGGCTATTGCTGTCTGGTGATGGCCAACAAATTCCGCAGCCGTCTTCACAGAAGGCATAGCCTGAAGTCTGCGATAAGCAAGCATTTTTCTCTGCTGAGACGTCTATACATTTGTGCTACTTTGCCGCTTGACATAAATAGCGTGGCTGCCTTCAGTCATCCCTCTGAATAAATTATTAGGAGCTAAACTCCTAAGCAGAAACAATATTGAGTGGCCCGAGTTTGGCTCCTCGCGTCTTGGGTCCCGTCACTAAGAGTTGTTGGGTTTAACAAATCTCCATTCAGCGGCACTCCAGAGAGAACCTGGGTGACAGCGCTGAAAAATAACTAACACCGAGAGGGGTACACACAGAGTAAGTGTGGAGTGTGGAGACCCGAGCAAATACTCAACCGATTTTCTGTTCCAATTTCTTTTAATTACCGGAAACGGAATTTGCATATCCAGCTTTGGGAAGATAAAAAATGCTTGAGTGAAATTCACCTCCGAATAAAAAATCCAACTAAGTCCTCAGGTCAGCATAATTTTAGCACGTTTGAAGCTGTGCCTCCTTCCTCGAAGAGCGGCGAGTGATGGAACAACAAAGCCGACACGGGCCAACACTACTGAATTTCACAGGGTGCACGAGCTTCATTGGAGTAGGCGCAGCAAAAATTGTTTTGCTCAAAACGCGTTAATTCACTTAGAGTGGACTAGTGCTATCGATAATCTCTAAGCGACAGAATTGCAAGGTCCAGAAGACTCATTTTGCTCAAGGTAAATCGGGTCTACACACAAACAGCAGCCATTATCCGCAAAGTACTCTCGGATGCAAGATAGTTGCGAACAGAATAGAAGACCTTGCGCCAAAATGTTGCATTTTGTTGCATATGTGCTCTAACCAAAAATCATCCTAATCCACAATCATATTTCTGCAGCTCACAAAATTTTGTTATTCCCCGAAGCAATCAGGAAGTACCAGTGTCCTCAGGAAAACAAAACATTTTGAGTCCGTGAAACAAATATCACGTTTACCGATCCAGGAAAATATCCAGTGCCCCTCCGTAAATTTGAGGAGCGGGCGCGTGATCCAGGAGAAAGCATGGACTGGTTCGCACAAGCATGATAGATGCCCCATGGAACCAGCAAATAAATGGGGGTAGTTCCTGATTTATGAAGTACCCGGGCTAGATTTGAATCGTTCATTTTGCAACGTCTTAGAGTGTTATACCTGTGCAAGACCAGCATCCGTGTTTCAGTAGGTTGCATTTTCATATCGTACGTTGTGTGTACTACGGTCTGGCCATATCAGAACATTTTCATGCACCTTTTGCGCGCCCTAACGGACGACATGTGGAGGATCATATCATCTATGTAAAGGGTCAGTCTTTGTGCACTAGCGGTTAATGGTCGTATTGGGGTAATGGAGGAGCGCGATGTGACTGGTCAGCTCATGCAGTTTGTAGGCTAATGGACACAACGGATGTCGTTTCTGGAACTCTTAATCATATTTCTACCTGCTACTGGTCCCATTCCCGATGAAGTGTGCAAAGTCACCACGCTCCTTCCTATGCGTTTAGTAACTTTATGATTGGAGGCCGTGATAGAGAGTCACGAATTGCTGACCACGTTTGGCTTTTTGTGACTGACACATGGATAAAAAGTATCGATTTTTCCCCATGAAAACACATGAAATACCCACGGTGATTTCGATCAGTGTATAATGGGTCTCCCTAACGTGTTGTTTAGCATTCTTTACGCCGTTATCCTCTCAGATATGGCATTAAGATTCGGCAAGGTATACCTTTGAAACGGATTAAGCTTGTAAAGCTTTCGTATCGGACCCGTGCTTCCGTCAAAGCTGGTTTGTACTCCGTTGAAACAAACTACTCTGTTGTTTTCAAATAACCACCGAAGCCTTTATATCTGGCGATGGGATATTTTACCCTTTCGATTGAGCGTTTAATTGGGTGATAAACCGGCCACTCTGATCATGAGCGGCATCTACGTTTTTACGCGGGCAGCACATGTGCAAAGAGATCGCCTGATGACCAAGCCTGAAGGCTATACAATATATATCACACTTATGTTATTGTCGAGGAAGACCAGGCCAGTATTGCCGGCCAGCGGAATCCTCTGCCGTGACGGATATGCAGTCGAGTCTATCCCTAATATCCGTGACGGATGGATGACCATGATGCACACCAAACCCGTCTTGTCGCTGACCACAGAGATGCTTCTTTCGTACAGATAGTTCAGCTCCCCCATGCTAACTCTGGAGCCAACCGTCAATTAATGCTGCAAAACGGAGTCCGACGCAGAAAGTATTTCCGGGTAAGGAGCTGCGTACAGCTTGACAAGAGGAACCGGTGAGTAAACTGCAAAAATCTAATGCATGATTCACTAGTGCGGCAAGTCTGGCGGGTTTCGCCATTTGAAAGACTGGTGTTTTTCTCAGCTAACGGGTGGAATGTTTACTGACAGCAAGAAGTACTGAGCGGTTATGCTAGGTATTCTGTCAACCACTGAAGGGCTTAATAAATCTGATAGAATAAACTAGCCTTTGGAAAGGTTCTGTTGGGCTTGAAGATGAAATTTTAATTTGGGATCGTAAATAACCAGGAGGAAAGCTCTTGAGAATTTAGGTGACAGCTTCTGAGGCTTTAATTCGAAAAAGGTCTTCAATTACCTGGTATAACTATCAAACGTATACTGAAGAAAACAGTTTATCAACAATGTGCCCCCGTTCCCCATCATATGTGATAATTAATTCCCATACTTATTCCACCTGGTAAGAGGAACTGAAATTCCCCTTGTTTTGATGAATTATTTTTATAACCTCCACGGATTTCGGTTCGACGTTACGATTTGTCGTCACTCGCCGTCGACACCTGTTTCCCTGTAAGGATATTGATTTTGTGGCGAGGTGAACGACGATGTAACTCTCAGGCTGGTAGTTCTGTAAACCTATTTTGTAACTCCTACGGTATCTGCGGAGGGGAATCTGTTGAGGTTTGCTAAATGTGTGCATTATTATCCTTGCAATAGTACAGTGATACTAGAAATAGGGTTTCTCGGTCCTGTTTCGTGAATTAGCACGCGTTAGCCAAGCTCGAAGTGCAGATGTCCGTAAATCCCTGGCAGGCCGTGATGATACCTGCCTAGTAGAACACTGCCTGGGCATAGTGACTCAAGAAATGGAGTTTGGAAACGTCCAATAACATCCGGACGTTGTGGTAGGAGAGAGTTCGCCGGTAATTTGTAGCGAAGACTGTTATTCAACAATATGATATTGTCAGTTTTCGCGGGATACAGTGAGACCTGGATTCTGTGCATTTTCTGAAGGCTACAAGGCCACATTCAGACGAGGAATTTTTCAGCGGACATTCGCTTAGACGCAGGAAACAGCCAGACTAATAAATCTGATCCCACAAGTAGGGGATCGCTGTGTAGACTTATGGGAACTTGGTCGCTCTCATGACTGAATGGTTGCTAAGTCCGCCTCCGGGTTTGTGGCCCATGATTTAATTATCGCGGAATTCACGTGTTCACGGATTGATACACAGGATCGAGGCTTTTGCCCAAGTTTCCCGGTCGGTTTTTTTCTTGTCGGTCAGTGACTGTCGTTCACCTGAAAGGCACAAGTGAAAAAAGGGTGTAGCAGTGCTCTTTATATTCTCAAGGCGGGGCAGTATACCTGCCAGTGCGAGGATTCGCATAAATAAATGTCTAATAGTGCTTCAAATTTAGGAGTTTCCCGGTCGGTTTTTTTCTTGTCGGTCAGTGACTGTCGTTCACCTGAAAGGCACAAGTGAAAAAAGGGTGTAGCAGTGCTCTTTATATTCTCAAGGCGGGGCAGTATACCTGCCAGTGCGAGGATTCGCATAAATAAATGTCTAATAGTGCTTTAAATTGGGTTCTAGAAGGAGCATGTACAACCGTCGAAGGGAGGTCATTCCACGCAGCTGCTACCCGAAATGAAAAAAATTTTGTCTAGTGAATGTGTGTCCTGAGCTTGAAAATTTTCTTACTAGAGCCCTTGTTCAACAATCAGCTAGGTCTTGTTGAAAACTGCTTTCTAGCAACAGTATGGGTAAGTAGCAATTAAGGCGAGCGATTAATTCGTACCATACGCAAACCCAACTTCAAAAATTAACTCGGTGAATTTTAGCTGGCACCAGGACACCGACCACAGCTTGACCTCTACTAGCCATAAACCCAGCGGCTGCAAAGATTTTTGTGGGAAATAATTAGCGGTAAGTCGATTACGAGACGCAAGAGGTATGAAATAAATGCCTGTTGACAAGTAGCAAGATCAGAACCCGTGGGATTTGTTTGACGTCCGCGATTGCGCATGCAAAAGACGGTGGCACCATTGATCCACGGAGATGGTAAGTTTGGGTAGCCATAATTTTAGCGCGTTAACTTCGACCGTTAATGAAAGGAAAAATTTTGGATTATATATCTGCCCGTTTAGCTGACCACTGGCCTATAGTCAACACTTGTAAACATCTAGATTTCGGCACCACGATGGCACCCGCAAATTAGAGCACTTTTTAGGAGTACCGACGGACCTGGACAAATTGAATTCCTGTGCAGTTTTTACCGAGAGTCGATGACTAGCGGATTTCCCAGCTCAGCACCGTTTGCTTAATGCACTGAAGTGAAAGTTAACACAAAATTTCCTATTTGGCCAGTTGCGTGTCGAATTCGAAAATGCGGCTCGGAACTCGAATTAGGAACAATTGAATCCGCACCACATGGTTAGGCTAAATACGTTACACTGAGTAAAAAGGCAGCTTGCATCCTCATTTTGTAATCTATCAGCAGCACGTGGGTCTTCTTTCAGATTTGAATGCAGGTAAGTAACCCCACGCAATCAGAAATTCATTAATTTGGATGTTGATTGGTCCATTTTGGAGGAAGGTTGTCAACGCACAGTGCATCGCTGATGTCGGGGCAAAAGGAAAATCCCTTGAAATGACTTTGGTCTGGTTTGGTTCACATTGCAGTGACGCAACTTAAATAGACATACCACGAACTCCAGACAGTCACAACGGTCTGCAGTGGTTAATTCATCAAGGCCATTAGAAAACGGCGCCTCTACTTTGGGTTCCCCTTCTTGCAACGTTGCTGCCTTGCTGACCAATCGCGAAGCAGTCAAACGACAAAGCTTGTGGCTCGAGTGAAAAAGATTCCGCAGTGTCTCTGGTTCGTCCAAATCTGTACTTGATTTTGAGTGCTGATTTTCCAAATTAGTCTCATATTTCGAGCTGCCCGACATTCTTAAGATCGATAGATATTTTGGCAGGACGACACGTTGAATTTAGGTGAGTCGCATGGGCCGAAAGTTTCAACGTCGTGCATGACTTTTTTGTCTCAAAAAAATCGTGTGGGTAGTCTGCTATTAATGAATCCCATGAATCTCTTATGAATCAAGACTGTGGAACTTAATTCAACTGTTGTGGTCCCCAAGCAATTTGTCACTCTCCGGGTTTTTGACCGCATACCAATTCGCTGGATTTATTTGAGGATGCCGCTACAAACGAACGGAGTGGTTATGCAGGCCATTCAATATATCCCTTTGGTGGTTCGTTCAGAAAAATAGACATACTACGTATCCCTAGCCTGTTAAAGCCGTTCATCGGGCTCTGACTCGTTTCTTCAATTCGAGATGTATTTTTTGAGTATGTCGAGATTCATCATCTGACGCAAGTTATCACGAAACTATATCGATACGAAAATAAGTGCCAATTGGGGGTCGGAGGTCACATGAATTACATCTCATTATGACGCGTCGCTTTCTCTGCGCCATCCAAAAATCTCATTTCTGCTTTATGCTGCGCGCATCGTATCACGTATCTCCTCGTGGTTGCCAATAGTGGATCATAGTTTCTAAGTGGAATGTCACTACACGGCTTTGCACTTGTAAATGTTCTATTTGCTTAAACCAACCAGATTTCCCTATCGATTTGCTTGGAATGATTTTGCTGGTCCGGTTTTGTGGTTTGTGAGCGAACCGTGCACGTTTTGTCGGGATGTATGTTACTGAGACACGCAAATTTCTTTATTTCCCTAGTATTATTATAATTCAGTGCCGACTGAAACTGCCCCCTTGAACCTTTTGCTGAACATGTACTGATTCTATATCAAATAAACGACTCACCCGGTTGATTGCATCATACTCGGTTTATACTCTACAATTGCAACAGGTACTACAGCACCGCTCNCAAACATTTTGACTATGCATACGGCTACTGGCCTACAAGTAATGCTGAAGTGAACTGTTTTCATTTTACACACCGAATTTTATTTTCGTGACTGTCTTGGAAATTCATTGATCAAATAAATGTAAAGTCAATGAAAAGTATTGCGTACTCGATTTCAAATATCTTATAGTATATGACAATATGTATATTTGATTTGTGGGAAAATGTCGTGAGGGATTTGGTGCAATGTACATACATAGGAGTACTATGTGACTAAAAAGAATTGTGTAATTTCAGGAGGTTTGTTAGACACGTGTGGGTTTAATCCAAAGTTTCTGTAAATGTGACATTTCAGTTGGTTCCACACTTTCCAACCCGACTGCACACAGTCATTCAGCGGCAATCATTCGCCCGTCATCTGATCACTCCGCTAGCTTTCGTCACCCACCTTTGTCGCGAGACCCGGTGTCGCTCCCCGATATAATATATGTATATATTTATATATGACATTACATATTATTGTTATATGTTGTGTTATAATGTAGCGATATATAATAATATATAATATATGTATATTAATATATATGGCATGATACATAATATATAATACATGAGTATAATGTAATATACTTATTAAATGAAATATATTATATTATATATATAATGTATAAAACCTGGCCACCAAGTGGTAGTTGCGGGAAACGGTTGTGCTGAAGGTCGTGGTTGCGTTTTAAATCACCCAGCGTACCACCACAAACTTCAGCCAGCTAACTCATCCAGTGACGCACATTCATCACGATCCCTCAGCCACACTAACGGTGACTACCCATGGACTTACGAATTCTAACGGATACCTATTTCCTCAGTGAATGAAAACAGACACCGAACCTAAGTCAATATCAAAACGAGTCCACTTGGGCATATTTTAACTGAGGGGCCCGCAGTTTTCCACTTTCGTACCGTTGTCTTCGATATATTATAAAATGTGACTGAAAAGCCTGCACCGAAAAGGTGACTGAAGGGATCCGCAGCAATAGGAGTTTGTGAATGTTACAGCAAAGGCTACCAACAGACAAATTTCAACGTCAAGATGAATCAAGCCAGAATTTATGCGGACTTGTGTCAGTGTCGGTGGAAGATTTGGGTCAGTGCATTTGTGGTCGGTCGTCCTTGAATATCACCTACCCCTACAGTATCTTTGAAACTTACCGTCGACGCGATATGCTGCAGCTACAACTCCCAGGCTGCCCTCCTTATTTTCGCTCACCGCGATTTACCCACATGTGAGAATTGAGTTTCGTACGTATATCGGTATAACCAGACGAGCTGGAAATCCAGAATTAAGCGAAGCGTAACAACCAGCACGTATGTATTCGAATTGGCGAATGTGCACAGCATATGGAAAAATAAAACAACAGAATAATGAATAGAGCAATGAATAGAGTATCAGTCATGTTCATCACATCCGCCACACCTTGAATGAGCGTGTGGATGTTTATAGTTCAGTGGTGTTTTGACTGCAATCTTTCGGATCTTCTCGGAATGGAAACTTCAGACTCTTCACAGGTTGTGTTCTTCCGATACGTTTTGTTGAGATATCATAAGATCATCTACAAAGGACTCATTAGTATTTGAAACAGCAGGAGTGCCGTTAACAGACTGACCTCTGGTATTGAACTCAACCTGGTCAATGTGTCCCCGATGACAAGAGAGATCATCCAAATCGAGAATTGTGACCATTCG